AAAAAAGGGCTGTTTTAATAGATAACACCCCATATAATCATATTACAAGTTGAACAATTGAACGAGACCAGCCAGGGAAGCGATATCGAAAAACAAGAAAGTTTCAAAGTGGTGAGATTGAAAAAGTTTAAGTTGGGAAAAAAAGAAGAAAAAGCACCGTCGGTAAATCGGCAAGGTCTAAAAACGGATGACTAGAAGAGAAACTTACCCGTTGAATTCCAAGAACAATCAACATGTGAAAGAATTAGTAGCAACCCCAAAAATAGAGTAGTTAATGATTTGAAAATGTATATGCAGTAACGAAACGATTAATGAATTAGTGATCTCCTTAAATAAAAGTTTATCATTAGAATAAATAAATAAGCTAAAAGTGGATAGATAGTATTTACCCGTCGAGTATCAGCATATCCATTACGTTGTTTCACTATATACATTCATCCAAGATCGAACTACTTTGGAAGGCAACAATAACAAAGACAATAAAGCAGAATGACGAATCAAGACAATAGATAAAAAAAAATGGTTTAGTAAAATGGCGCAGCAAAAACAGAAAGGTTAAAATAATCAGATTTTGTATCACTAAATGATCTACAAAAATTAGCCAATAGGTAGCCAATCAGCACACTTCAATTCATCCAATTCATGTAATTCAAATTTATAATCACATAATAAAGACACGCCTCTTAGCTCAAAAGGCTAGAGTATCCAGGATTATGCTGCGAAGATTGCCAAATTATACATGCGACAAATAGTAATTATGCAAAATTATGCAAGTTTTTTATCTAACTTATGCTCATATTATGCATTATATTGGAAATTATACAAAATATGTGAAAATATTTTTTATTAAAAATTAAAACCAAAGTCAAAAAAATGATTAAATATTGTTAATTATAATATTTTATATTATACTCGTGAAAAATTATCAATTACTTTATTTATATTGAAGACATGTCAAATACGTAGTTCTAATTCTTAAATATATATATTTTATAATCTAAAATTGAAATGTTTTTTTTTTAAAATAATCAACATATTTATAATCGATGATATTGTTAAGGATTTTTATTTTATATGTACTGTACATATACAATTCAGGCTGCTTAAAATTAATAAAGAAAATTTTAATACTTATAATAGTAGAATATAACGATAAAGATTGTCAATTTGAATCATATGATTAAGGAAATTATCTAGTGTGATTAGTCGCTAAGTCTTATATTTGATATGAGCAATTTCATTGGCTAAAAACTCCGGTTCACATGCGACATGTATCTATTGCAAAACGATCTATCGTTATGCAGTTTTCCAATTAGCACATCAATTTTTTAGATGAAAAAAAGGGTTTCAAGATATTTATCTATGAAACAACCTACTGCGCACTAACAAAAAGTTTTCCTTGCGAAATTTTGGTACTACTTTCTAACCTTAACTTAATAGCAAAACTTAACCATAATCTAACAGCGAAATTTTTTAGGTTGGTAACGCTAGATCTGTTATAACCATAACACCCATACCCATTATTTCGCGATATATAAATAAAAACCATCAAAATCAAGTATTTTATTATCACGCCTATATCGCCAAATGTATTCCAGTATTAATTTTATCAAATTTTTTTATTATGCCAAAAACTATTGCTAATCAAATAGTACTGGAATTTTTTTTATTTACTAATAAATTACTAAAACTAAATCATATTAGCAAAACCATTCCCAACTGTAATAAAATTATTATTAATACAAAGAAGAAAAAAAATTAGAGTGAGGATTTTTGTAATGATTTTTTTTTTTTACCAACTCCAATAAATTTAGGAATTGATAAACAAACTATGTAAAGAAACTACAATATAATATAAAAGTTTTCTTTTTATCTTATTGACAACAGTGTTTCTTTTTTCGTCTTTATATTGAGACGTGAAGATAATGATTGTTTACATAAGCATATAAAATGCATGAAGCTATTATTTTAACTAATGAAAAGTCATAAATGTATTCTATAATGGAAATGTCACCATGAATGGCTGATATATAATGTACGATGGGAACGGAATGGAAATTATAAAATAGTAAAAAAGTTATAAGTTAGTATCATATTTTCCAACGAAATAATAATAAAACAGCGATGTCAACAATTCATGAATGTAATCCCACATTAGCATAGCCTTTCAATAAATCAAATGTTCAAGAGAAACAGAACAATATTGTGCAATGAATAAAAAGGAATTTGTCAATTATTTTGATACTCTTGATATTACAAATACGCCTATAATTGCAATAGCGAGCGTAATAAGGGCACCAGGTAATAGCAACTCGTGTGGAAATGAAATACTATCATCCACTTTCTTCTTGGATCTTCTTCGCCGTCCCCGCATATCTTCTTCGTCATCTTCTTCATCATCAATTTCGACTTCGCGACTCCGTGGTTTTGACGGTACTTGAATTTCTTGAATGTGCAAAATTACGCGTGTTTGACCTTGTCTTTGAGCAATTTGCACAGCATCGAGAACATCCTCATCATTTGACATTGCAACAAGATCCTCATCATCGTCCACATAAGAAATAGAGAATTCTTTAATACTAGGAGGAAGCTTGGAAGCAACAGTAGAACGAATATGTTCAAAACTAGTATAATCAACAGTGAAACGATGAGATTTTCCATTTGGTGCTTTAAATTTAAAAGTGAAATGATTTTCATCATGTCCTCTAGGGAATGAAGCCAAAGAACCATCATCTACAGCCGAAGCAGATTCACCAGGAAGAATTTCGGGAATAGGAGAAACGTGCCCAGAGTTACGCATGCGTGAATTTGGCGATGGAGGTGGGATATTTGAGGCACTCTGTGATGGAGCTATTGAATCAGAAGCAATTGATTCGTTATCATCATCAAGCGAGTTCCAAAATTTATGCCACATTGGTCCTCCATTTTCATGACCATTTTCGTGGGGTTGCTTAGAATACATCTATTGAGAACGATTAATATAATATATTAAAAAACATAGAGTATTAAAACTATAAAGAAATATTTTCGTATAAAAAAATTACCTGTTCCATGGTAGCATATGTCAATTTTAATACATCAACCATCCCTAAAATGCTGCTACCGTCAACCACTGGTAGATTTAGATAATGACCGTCTATGTTTAAAAAAAAAAAAAAAAAGAAAAAAATAATTTAGATTAATTAAATTAAAATAATAATACCCAGATCACTATATCAAGATCACGGGGCATTAATTAATAATATCCTGATCCATATATGTACAAGCGGAAACCTCGTTTCCGCTAATATCCTAACATTGATGTTGATCCAATAATAATTTAAAGGATTATTGGTTAAATCCGCTTTGTACATATTATTTGGATCATATAATTTATTATTTCTCGCCGGATGACAAGATTACGACAAGAATAAATTGTAATCATGCTTTATTAGCGAGAGATATATAATCACACAATATTATATAATATGTAAATAATTGCTTACCATACATTTTTTTTAAGGCATCAAGAATACTAGTATGAGGTGGAGCAGTGTCAGGATGTGGAGTCATTACTTTTGCGACACTACACGTCGAGGGATCCAACCCAGCAGCTATAACTCTCAATACAATATCTTTACTTGTGAAAATACCAGCAATCAGATTATGCTCCATAACTAAAACAGCAGTTGTGTGATATTCTCTCATTAGGCGAGCAGCGTCTCTCACACTTGTTCTAGTAGAGACTTCAGCCGGCATTGAACCATCTAATATTGTGGATAAGTCAGGACATGCCATCGTTTCACGTAACATACTCATGTATTGATGGATCGGTGTAGGTTGATTTGACCATTCTCTCTCTACACCTTCAAGGGCATCATATAGTTTCTTTGATGAACCGTAAGCACGTTCCATTTTGTCTAAAGCCTCATATAAACATTTTGTTATATCAAGGAGACCTACAACGTCACCGTCTTCATTACATACAGGCTAATCAAAAACAAAAAAAAAAAGATATTAATATAATGAAGATAAAATTGTAACACAAATGAAATAGATTATCAAATATGAAACTTACTAGATGCCGAAACCCACGATGAACCATTGTATTGAGAGCATCAGTCGCTGATGCATTACTTCTTACACACATTGGATTCCTCGTCATTATTTCCGCCACACTAGTTGTTCTTGAGTCTAGCCCATCACCAACTACTCTAAAGGCCAAATCTTTGGCAGTGAAAATACCCGACAAACGTTCCTCACTATCAACCACTAACACACAATCAGCACGTTTAGCAGCCATAAGCTGTGAAGCTTCAACAACCAAAGTACTCTCTCTGACAGTTAGTGGTTGGTAAGGTTTTAATGAATTTACAGTGCCATCGGATCTTTGCGATTGCTTCGTTGGCCTACGAGGATTTGAATTCTTTCTTATGTCAGATTTTTTTC